TAGCTATGGATACCTAAACTTTTGTATCCAACTATCTTCATTGCCATTTTCTATATTAGTATATTAATACATGCTGAGTTTATTTTTGATCGTGCTTCTCACCAAATATTTAACAAAAGACGTTATTTCTGTAGAATGAATACTTTTCAAGTATAAAACAGCAGGGTTGATTTGATAGTCATTACCTGATACTTGACATTATTGAGGCAAATAGGAAATATATTAAGCTTGTTCAGACTGAATTGGTCCATTCATCCCTCTAGCTCAGTGTTTCTCAACCTTGACAATTTTAAGGCATGTGGACTTCAACTCCCAGAATTCCACAGCCAGCAATGCTGACTGTGGAATTCTGGGAGTTGAAGTCCACATGCCTTAAAATTGTCAAGGTTGAGAAACACTGCGTTCTAGCTATATTGACTAAACTGGGATGGTTCTTAAAACCTTTATCTGTCTTATAGATCAGACTGGCAATATCTGAAGTTCATTCTTTGTTTACTCAATTTATATACTACAACATCTATATTGATTCATCAGGCCCTCTTTTTGGCATTTATATCAGATCCTACTTTTGGCAACCTGCTATTTTAATATATATAGGAAAGGTAAATAACCTCTTCAGTCTGCAAACACTGGGTTTTGAGAACAGTTGATTAATGCAGTCACCAGTTGGTCACTTCTGGAGTCTTTCCAGTGGTGGGATTCAGCCAGTTTGCACCAGTTTGGTAACTGGTAGCTAATTTTTTGTTGCCCAGGCCCAGAATGGACTTCCAGAAGCGGCATCCACACAGAGAAACAGTTGTTCACATATTTGAATCCCATCACTATTCATAAAGTGGCCTTTATGGAGAACATAGTTAGTGTCTGTACAAAGTTGCCTATATAGTATTTCATGGCTAAACATGAGTGGAACAAGGATAAAAAAATGTTAGGACAAATGTCACAATATGCAAGAAGAAAATAGCAATAATGTATGAAAAATAAAATAAAAAATGAACACCAACAAAGACATTATAGCAAGATACCAATATTTTGCTTATACTATTGTACAACGTAAAACTTTTTTTAAAGAAAAACTAATTAAAATGGTATGTATGTATGTAGGTATGTATGTATGTATGTATTCAAAGTGTCCTTAGGAGACCTAACCTTAACATTTCAACACTTTCCATGCCCATCATGCATCATTTTTACTTTTGAAAGAAAGGGCCTATTTTGAGCCTTGAGGCATTGCTAGAATTAAAAATGGCATTGGTCCCTGGCTCCTTATTTTGCCAGCATGTCAGCTTCCCATTTTTTAAATTATCTTTAATATCAAAAGTCAGATGAAGTCAGAATCTGGTGGTTCCCAAGGAAAGTCTCTACTGGTGTAATGTGCCCATAAGGAGGATGTGGGAGACTTCTGGTTTAAAGGATCACTCTTGATGTATATTAACTGGCTCCGATAAGCTCCAGCAGCTGAATATTTGACATTAGAACTTTGTTTTCCATAGCTCAGGAAATATTTTTGAACAGAGCCTTTGGAAATATGAAGCAGATGCCTTTCTATCCTTTTTTGAGCTTCTTTCCCCAAAACATAAACTCATTCAGGCACCTGCAATTTAAAATTCTATTAAAAGAAGGAAAACTAGTTCAGTGTGTGTGTGTTTACCTTTTACTAAGAGTGTTCCCCCAGCATGTGACAAGCCTGTAATAAATTTACCAGATTGTCAAAAACTGTCTCACTGTGCTGAAAGCCAGCCAGTATGAGAAAGATTTATCTCGCTGCCTAAGGGAAAACCAATGAATTGGAACCATTGTTTTTTTTTTAACTTGTATCTAAAATTGAGGAACCATATTTCCCGTGAATTCAAAGCTTATTTTTAGCCCTTGTTAAATTTGATTTTCCAGTTGCTTAATTTATTTTCCAAGGTATTAATTGAGTACAATAGGAATGTAAGGTGCAGTTAATACAAAGTATGGTTTGTTGACTTTGGCAATTTGGAAATGATTTATAGATTTAATATTGGGTTTGTTCATCTTATGTCTTGAAGCACTATACAGACACACATCTGCTTTATCTATATTATGTTTCTGGCTTCTGAAATTGCTACATTTAAGACATAATTATGCGAGGCAGGCAGTTTTCAAGCAATATAATTAATTTAGAATCTAGCCATCAGGGGACATGTCAGTTTGGACAACTTTGTATGTTGCAGTCAGAAGCTGATGATTTAAGTCAGAGTTCTCCAACTTTTCTTGGTTGGCGGACTGGAGGGAAAGCGAGGGAAAAGCAGTTTACATGCGCGGGCATGCACACACACAAATGGGGCCATGACCATGTGTGACGCAAATGAGGTGGTCCTAGTGTCCGTGTGACACTCTCTAGCACCACCCCATTTTCACCACATGGCACCTCATTTTCTCCATGTGGTACCCTATTTTTGCCATGCAGCACTAGTGTAAGTGGGGGTCAGCGCTCACTGGCCAGCCTGTTCTGCGGCCCACTGGCCAGCGGGCCATAGCCCAGTAGTGGACCATGGCTCACAAGTTGGGGACCCCAGATTTAAGTCATCTCATCAGTTGTTAAAATCACAGTGAGAAAAGCAATAGGAATACTCGGTAAATATCATGATGATTTTAATGATCTTTGTATCAATCTTGAAGCTTCACTAATTTTTCAATGCTTCAAACACTAATTCTACATAAAATTTCGCATAATAAAAAATTGGTTAAGAAAGTTCCCAAGGATGAAAGAAATGTATGGAAGCACATCCAAGGAATATAGTTTCACAGGAACGTAGGTTTCCTTAATAACAAAGCTAATATTTGTGGTCATTAAATGAGTACTACTTATAGTGTGGAACTAAGGGCAGCTCCATGTGTGATGTCCACCACATTCATGGGTAGCTCTGCACCCATATGGTAGTTTAGCTAGTTTAATTCTGACTCAAATGCAGCTTTCCCATAAAAGCATTAGAGCTCTGTTTATGAGCATGTGTAGAGAGATTATTTTCCTGCTGATGTAAAATTTTTCTTTATTTTGCCTTACCATCCCTTTTCTCCCTGCAGAAATTTTGCCCTACCATCATGCCATTTTAAATTGAGCACATGGATGGTAATTGATAGGTTGGTAACTTCCCTGAATTCAGTTACTTTCCATAACATTGAACATGGTTACAGAGATGGAAAACGGTTCAATACTACTATTTGTCTCCTTCTGTTGCTCAGCTGGGAGGGTGCATTGATTGCTTCATGTGATGTTTGTTATATTCTGAGATTGGCGGTGATAAAGATGATCAGAGGTTGGATTAAAACTGACTCTGGGGATTAGAGAGTATACTCAGATTCTATATCTCACAGTTATGAAAAGCAAAGTATCTCACATTTGTTACCGGGTTGTCCTATCAGTTTCAGTTCTACAAAACTGTTTTTGTAGGCTGGCACCATTCTGTTGTGTTAGAAGACAATTTCCATAATGGCAACTGGGGGAGATAATCTTGAAGAATTAAGATTCTGGTCCCAGTGAATACAGAGTTCAGGCACTGGTGGGATTCAGCCAGTTCTCACCAGTTCAGCAGAACCAGTAACTAATTTTTTGTTGCCCAGGCCCAGAATGGACTTCAGGAAGCGGCATCCTCACAAAGAACTGGTTGTTCACATATTTGAATCCCACCACTGAGTTGAGGTCAATGTAGCCCAAAGGCCAGCAACCTATAAGTCACAGGAGATCTCTGAAAATGCACCACTGAAGTAGAGTGACAGACATTTGAATTTCAGTAATAGGAACCTATAAATACCAAATCCAGGGAAAGTGTTCCTCAAAATATAAACCTCTTTTCTATGCATTTTAATCATACAACATATCAAGCAACATAATATTTTGTCTGTGCATGGTAAAGGAAAATACAGAGGATTTACCTGAGATATGCTGTATATATATTTTTTGTTTTGTTTTAGATTTGTCTTCAAATCTGTCAAAGCAAAATAACATGACTGAATCTTTGCATTTATGCTAGACTCGCAGTGTTTCTCAACCTTGACAATTTTAAGGCATGTGGACTTCAACTACCAGAATTCCACAGCCAGCACTGCTGGCTGTGGAATTCTGGCAGTTGAAGTCCACATGCCTTAAAATTGTCAAGGTTGAGAAACATTGTGCTAGAGACTGAACCTTAGTTTGAAGCATACCTTGTAATTCTACTGAGATGTGATTTGCTGGGGAATATAATTGATGAGCCATTAGATTCAAAATTGAGTATTTGATGTGCATTTTTTCTAATATTAAATCTCAGTCCATTGGCAGAATAATGGGATATAAATTTTACATGGGTATTCATTGTGATGTTGCAATGGAAACTATTCCATGTGTAATGACATTGCACAAAAGGTGGACATACTTTGTTACCAGGGTGAAACTTCTAGATTGAGCAGATGCCTCTGTGTATGCATTCTTTTAAAAGTTAATATAAATCCTGTGTTGACTTTTCTGATCACATGATCCTGGGAAAAATGATTCATTTTTCATTCATTTCATGTCAACATAGAGCTCACAGCTCTTTAATTTTTCATCAGATCTTGATCATATTAATGGACACAGGAAATCTAAGCCACACTCAGAGAACTGTCATGTAACAATAAATGTCCCAGCTTATTTCACACTGAGAGTATATCTTCATTTTATTTTTGTTACAGGGATGTTTAGTGTGTGTGTGTGTGTGCGCGCGCATATGTTCAGTATTCTCACTTTCCAAGGTCTACTTTGAGGAGTTGGTAAAACATTGATATCATGAGTTCCATTGGTTAGATTCGAATTTGTGATCATGGTCATTTTTCTGTTGTCTTAAGAATGTTTAATAATGGCTTCATGCTGTTTTATGAGTAAAAGCCAGCAAAATCCAGATTTCTCTTCCTTTTCCTCCTCATTGCTTCTAGGGGGACAACAAAGGGAGGGAAGTAATCATTCTATCAGTGGCATCATTGGCTGTTCTAACAAAATGGTTTCTCTGTCTTGTTTCTTTTAGGGAGCTCCTGTTATCTGTAGCTTTGGGGCAAGTCTTATCCCTGCTGATCTGTGGTATTAGCCTAACCAGCAAGTATTTGTCAGATGATTTTCATGCCAACACTCCTGTCTTTCAAAGCTTTCTGAACTACATTCTCCTATTTTTGGTCTACACCACAACATTAGCTGTTAGACAAGGTAAGTGGTGCTTGCTGCATGTCGATGGGCTATTATATCAATTCCTGAAATTGTACATGGCCTCATTTTTTCCTTTATGCCAATTTTGGTTTTGTCATATAACAGATCATTCCATAATATAACTAGAGTTGAATTTTTAAAGGTAGTAAAATGATATGCTCTTTCAGACAGGAATAGGTTAATAATTACCAAGGTACAAAATCACCATTACATGTTTTGCTGGCAACATGCTCACAAGAAGAGACTTTTGATGAATATAATTCTTATAAGAAATTCTTATGATTTTTGAGAGCTAATAGATGAGTTTGTAGCTTATATAAAGGATACATACATACATACATACATACATACATACATACATAACATACATTGGTGATTGCTCAGGAGGTCTAGAATGGTACCTGAAATGATGAGATGAATTTCTTTGATTTCCTGATAAATAAGGGCAATATTTTCATTTGGACTGTAATGTGAATAAATAGAATTCTATGTGCATGGACTTTCCACTTTCCCAACATTCTTGATGTCTGAGAAGCATCCAGTGTGACATGGGAGCTGCAACCAGGAAGTGAGAAACAATGGAATTGGGAGGGGATTCTGTTTATGGTGAATTTCCTCAAGGCAAGCCAGGCTTTCATCTTCAGATACTGGAATCAAGCTCTTTGCCAGTGAGATGCACTTGTATCTCTCTCTCTCTCATCTCTTTCTCTCTTTCTCTCATCCATTTCTCATCTCTGTTATCTATCTAACATGTCTGTCTATCTGTCTGTCTCTCTTTGTCTCTCTCTTTAATGTGTTTTCTGTCTCTTAGAGAAATCTAAATATTTTTCTATCTGCTATGATTTAGCATTATATCACTGTGGCTTTGCAATATTGTCACAGAATTACTTGATATTAACCCACATAGCTTCTGTAGTCTTCATTGTCATATTACCACTGAGTGTCCCACAGCCCTTAAAAGCACCTTCTCAGATATCAAGAGCAGAAAGTAAGAATGAAGAACCTATTGGATTTATTTATTTAAATAATTTATAGAGCCAAAGTATTTCTGGGTGATATACAAAGATTAAACCCACTACCACTACCACATACAACCCTGGCACCCAAAAGCAAACAGCCATATTATTGGCAGAGCTTGCTTAACCTCCTGGTTCAAATACTTAATTACCCAGAATTTCACAGTCTTCTTGATGTAATCCAAGGTTTAAAAAAGCACTATGGTTTGGCAATTCACAATTATCTGCAACTGATTTTCCTGTAACCCAAGGAAAGAACAATGGAGTGCATAAGCCAGAGGTCTTCAAACTTGGCCCTTTTATGCCTGGTTGAGGAATTCTGGGAGTTGAAGTCCACAAGTCATAAAAGGATCAAATTTGAAGACCCTTGGCATAAGCAAAACATTATCTTACTGTTTGTTGAAATTCCTTTTAATATTTAAGTCCTCAATTCAGCATTTGGCTTCTCTGAATTGTTTATGGTTTTTTTCCAAGAATTTGCAGATGCTTCAGTCTCTGTGTTGTCTGTGAGCAATCAACGCTTCCTTTTTTACTCTGGTTAATTTCCAGTGGATAAATTAATGTTAGTTTCCATTCTGTTCCTCTTGCCTGGTTCTATAACACCAATAGGATAGATTGTTACAATTCTTACAAAAATAATTTGCAGTTCACATTGAATGAACAAGCAGCTGTAAGATCTTACCAGTCTTAATTTAAAACATGCACTTGAGATATGTAGCTTACACTACCTAGATCCCACTGATATGGCACAGAGATGGACCTACAGAGTTAGCAGTAAGGACTTTGCTTGTTGACTAAGTGCAAAGCTGGGCAAAGGGCTCTATCAACTTATTACTTCCAAAAAAATGGGCTGAGGCAGTTTACTTCTACTCTTCCCTCAAGCATGCTGCCACATCGTCTTGCTGAAGCCACAAAACAGGGAAGAAGATTGAATACCAAGGGAAATATTTCAATAACCCCTGTTGCTATTCACACAAAGTTAAATGGCCAGTGCCTGGAAAGACCAACTGAAAGAACCATTGTAGTGGACCAAGAGACCATTCCAGTTGCTGTTTACATAGGAAAGGGATAATAAACAAACCCTCATCTCTGTTTTTTTTTGGCTGATGTAAATCCATATGTTAACAAGTGTGGGTTAAATAAAAGCTAAATTTTATCAGAAAATCACTTTTTAGCAGATTTCCAAACCAAATTAGGCCTGGAGCAAACTCTCAATGGCTTAGCAATATGGGTTCAAATGAATGCCACTTATCCATGTAGACATATTCACACGTATGGAAGTATAATCTTTACTGTTTGCTGTTTTGTTTGATGCACAATATGAGTGGCATAACGTCATAATATTTACAGTATTTATCAAATCAAGAGTCATCTTTTGGGTCATACTTAGAGCTAAATGAGAATACCAAATTTCATTTTGCTTTTTATTGTCTTTAATTGTCTTCATCCTTTTTTCACTTCCATTATTGCCTAGAAGGGCTTTCCTTTTTGGTGAACTTTTGAGTGAGTCTAAACTTTCATCTATTTTCATAAAAAAAACCAAAAAAACCCCCTCTGTTCTTCTTGGATTACAGAGAAACAACAGTTTTCTTTTTTTCCTCCTACTGGCATTTGAAGAAATCCCAGAGTTACATCTAGTTTTAGTATGTCTGCTGTCAGATATCTAGGTGAGAAGCAATAGTCAATCAATGTCCTTGGTAAAGAAATAACATCATTTCAATTTCCTTTCCAGAGACAATTGTATAAATAAACAAAAAAAATGTTTTACACCTTCTTCAAAAGACAACAAGAAAGCCATTTATCTACCAAAAATCTTTGAGGTTTCAATTCTATGCAACTATTTAAAGGCGTGCATTTAATTCAATTCAAATTGGTGACCTCCCTTTTTGTTGTGAGTCATTTTCTCCTGCTCTACTCTGCCTTTGATTACTCATCAGTAGTCAATTCACCCAGGAATTAATTAAAGGAGAATTGCATTCTGACTTTCCTCTTGCCAAATTATGAGACACTATAGCTGGTCTACTAAGCTAAATAAAAACAACCATTTTTCCTTCTCTTTGCAAGCTCTACTTTATGGGGATATAGGGCAAAATTATAGAATGATTATTTTAGCAATATTTAGTTCATTTTATTTAATTTTAGTTCAATTAAATTTGAATAATCTCAGGTTCAAGTTTTGTCCCATTCCTGTAGTCCCACCAGGTTTTGTTTTGTTGTTGTTTCTGTTGTTTTGAGTATGCCCTCAATATATCATTCCAAAGCCTTGGCTATTGGCATAAAAAACACTGGAGACTTTTAAGACCAAAATATTGGGCTCAGTATAGCTAAAGAGAGGCAAAATCTGAGAACATCTCCAAGGAGGGAGGCCCAGAGCTGAAGAATTCTGAGCAATATATTGTAATCTGGCTCTGCATTAGCCCTGAAAATTGAACCGCAAAAGCTTTTAGCCAATTGTAGTTAATGTTCAGGACCTAGACCAGTGGTGGCGAACCTATGGCACACGTGCCAGAGGTGGCACTCAGAGCCCTCTCTCTGGGCACGCACACCATCTCCCCGGCCCTGCCTCCCCCATGACCCCCTCATCAGCAGCCCCCCTGGAGTAGAGTTGCCCCTGGGCATGGAGCAATGCAGCCAAGCACATGGCAGTTGGACAGCAGGTACAAGACTCCGCCCTCACACCCTGTCACGCACAGATGGTGCAGGGTGCAAGTGGAGGGTGTGGCCACCATGGCACTGCAGGGTCACCTGAGCAATCTGCGGTGGGCCGTGTAGGTGATGGGTGGCCTGGCAGGTGGGATGGGGGCAGGGCAGAGGTGGAACGGGCAGGGCGGAGCGATGGGGCAGGTTTTGGCACTCGGTCTTTAAAAGGTTCGCCATCACTGACCTGGATGAAAAGTTTAAAAACATTTCTGAGTTTTAGTTGGTTTCACCAAAGAATCTCATTTCCAAGATGCAGATTTTCACATGAAAATGGAAAATCACGTCCCCAACCTATTGTGGTTCCTAATTTTTGCTTGGAGTCACTGAAAAAGTAACTGTGAAAAGTCAAAGTGATCTATCTTTAGAGTGAGAAGATGTCCTTGGTATCTAGCTAACACCTTTTTCACAGAGTGTGAAGCAAACTTTCAAAGGTTAACAAAAGTCACAACTCTGGGGAAAATCCTGGTATTGTTTCACAAGGTCTTTTTAAAGCCTCCATTCCCATGGGATGTTCTCATAAAAAGCTATCTTGAAAAGCCTACCGTTTGCATCTTTAAATGCTTGTGATGCCTTTTTTTCCTCTCTCGGTGCAAAATTGGTAGTACAAAGCTACTATTTTTAATTATGATTATATGTGAAGAATTTGAGCTGGTACAGTAGAAGAGACAAAGATGATTGTTTCTGTTTCTCATTTATGTAACCTAAGGGCAATATTTGTTTCGTATTTCCCAACCCATATGTGGAATCCAAACATGGGATATCTCTTCTTTAGGAATGAGAATCTTTTCCCTCCTCTGTCCTTCCTTTCCTTCACTTGCTTATCTGATTAAGAGATATGAAAGTTGAAAAACCCTGCACTTCTCTTGTTATATCCTTTGGGGGAATCCTTGAGTTCATAGGTTTATGTTCTACATGAAAGATGCTAATCGGAATCCATGCCCATTTCTGTGAACATAGGATTTCAGGATAAATCTCATATGTCTGGTTGCCCAATGGTTAGAATGCAGTATTGCAAGATAACTCTGCCCATTGCCAGGAGTTCAATCTCGACCAGCTCAAGATTGACTCAGCTTCCATCCTTCTGAGGTTGGTAAAATGAGGACCCAGTTTCTTGTGGCAATATGCTGACACTGTAAACCACTCAGAGAGTATTGTAAAGTACTATGGAGTGGTTAATAAATCTAAGTGCTAATTGCTATTGCTGTGTCTCAAAACAACAAGGAACCTTGACTCCATCTTGGAGGACTTTGGAAAAAGATGATGGATAAATTTAGTATTTCTGTT